CAGACACGAGACCAAGACTCTCACACACACACAGATCCGGATTCTGATACACACAGGCCAGGACACACACACACACACAGATCAGGATTCTAACATACACAGGCCAGGACACACACACACACACACACGGAGACCAGGACTCTCTCTCTCTCTCACACACACACACACACACACACACACACACACTCCCCAAGACCCAGAAAGGCCCAGATGCAGATCTCCCATCTCCCTGTGGCCTCAAACTCGGCAGAGGGGGTGGGGTAAACCCCTTCCCTTCCCGGGGGCCGGGCGGCCGGGGGAAGCTGGGCCTGAGCACCCTGAGCCGGTCCTCTCCCCTCAGATGGCGCCCGCAGGAAGACCTTCCGCGAGTCCGTGCGGCCGGGCTGGGAATACATCGGCCGGAAGATGGTGGGTCCCCCGTGCCCCCCGACCCCTGACCCCTGGTGGGAGGGGCTCTGCTACCCCAGACAGTGCACCTCACACCTCTGTGGGCTCCGTTCCTGCCCCGCGCCCTGCTCACTTGGGAAATGGATCCCCTAATTGTTAAAATCAGAGGCCGCGTGTCGGTGGCTCCCGCCTGTCATCCCAGCTGCTCAGGAGGCTGAGATCTAGAGGATCGCAGTTCGAAGCCAGCCTGGGCGGGAAAGGCTCTGATGTCTAATGAACCACCAGAAAACCAGAAGTGGTGCTGTGGCTCACGTGGTAGAGCGCTCACCTTGAGCTGAAGAGCTGAGGGACAGCGCCCAGGCCCTGAGTTCAAACCCCACAACCGACCAAAACCAAAAAGGGAGGGAGGGAGGCAGCAGGGGCTGAGCCAAGGGCCTGGGGCCGTGTCCAGCCAGTCTTGCGATTCCCCCTCCCTCCCGATTCCCCCTCCCTCCCTTACCCCCCTCCCACCCCCGCCCCCAGGACGTGGCGGACTTCGAGTGGGTGATGTGGTTCACGTCCTTCCGCAACATCATCGTCTTCGCCCTGTCGGGCCACGTGCTGTTCGCAAAGCTCTGCACCATGGCTG